GATTAATTAATGAGGATAGAGCAATAGAAACAGCCACATAATTCATATAATAAAATTTTATTTATTTTAAATTAATTATAATAATATCATGGTGTATATATATTAAAGTACGCAAGGTGTATTAAAAGGTTAATAATCTTAAAAATAAAGAGTTAGAACTTAGAAGGATTCAGGTTTTGGAGAACTTCTTTTTTTTTTTTTTTTTTTTTGTAATAGAGTTACATTATGAGAAATGAAAAAATGAAAAAAGAGTCAAATTTGAATCTAATGAAAAGCGCGACGTGGGTAGCAACCAATTGCTTCACCCAAAACTTCTCAGTTTTGGAGAACTTTGTTGGCTACCGTCTCCATAGGAAAACAATTTACATATACATAATGTATTTTTATTATGAAATCTCTCACAGTTCTAAATTACTTAAATTATTGGTGGCTCTCCAACGTCATACGTGATTTTATATCAGCTACTTTTTTTTGGAAACCCTGACATATTATATTCATAACCGTACAGGAATTATAAAATCAATCCTCTTCCTGAATACAAAATACATGCAATGGTTCACTGTCATGCAGCTATCGTAAAATTTTGCAAAAAACAAGAGAAAAAAATACAGAAAATTGTCGAGGGTCATTATCAAGTTAGGTTAATTTTAGAGATGGTTTTCTAACCTTTCTAAATTAAAAATGTATTGGTGGGTCTTATATACGAAGTTTATAGAGATTAATAATTAAGGAACCAAATGCACCATACAAATATACTTGTATATTCATAAATCATGATATATATATAACAACTAACTATACATGCAGTTTATTGGTCAAAGGAAATATGCCTCTTGCTGCCAACTGAATTATGGGCAGCAAAAGAAATTCAATGTTTCCAACTCAAAGATTGGAGAAACCCCATTACTTTTAAGTGTGAATGCTTCAACTTTAAAGTCAGAATAATATATTTTACCTTGGACAAAACTATCTGCAAGTTGGGACTTTTCTAAACATTCCTTATCTTTTTCCCCTTTATATCAAGAGGCCCCAACTTAAACATAATATAATTTTTATTTTTCTTTAATATATCTTTTCTCTTTGCTTTGGTAGATTCAAGAATGTTTGAGAAAAATAATGACATGTAAAGAAAACCCACTAATTCACCAAAAAAAAAAATGTTAGAAAAAGAACACAAAATGTTTCATTTAAAAGTGCTGAATAGAGAAACAATTCTTAATATCATGAGTCGTTACTTATCTAATAGTTTAAATTGTGTGATTTAAATTATATTATATTTTTTTAATTAAAAAACATACAAAGGATACTTGACTTCTTTTATTAGGTTGTTTTTCTTTCTTTAGTCTTTTTCAGCTCATTTTGTGATCAACAACCTTTTTTTTGGGATTAGGCTTCGTTGCTGTTTTTGTCATTTTTCTCTTTTTCTCATTTCATGTACAACAATGGAGTAGCACACAAATGATTTTGTCTAGACTCAGTACTTTATTCTCTACACATGATTGAAAATTGTGAGGCCAAAAAAACAAAAAACACCTGTCAGTAAAGACATTTCAGTTTCAGCCCATCCACAAAGTGGTAGGTCCATCCATATGGATTGCTCCACGAACTTGCAATTATGTGCTTAGTAGTACTTTTCTGAAATTGCTGCATTCTACACCAATTCAAGAACAAAACCAAACAACAATGTCATGAATTAATTAATCCTGTACTAATGTTTGCTTCTCCTATCTACCCAATTGATTATTCATGGGAAGAATAAGCTTTGGCCTTTGGGGTTTTACAATTTGACGCATACAATTGAGGAATATATGTGTTTGGTGAACAACAATTAATTGGTTTATTCAAGTGGTTAAGGTTTTTAAGAAATGATTAGATTTTTTAGATTTTTTTTTTTTTTTGTATCTGTCGAAGACATTCTGGCGCTGGCAAGATCGATTCGACATTTGATCTTAACTTCTGCCGAATTTCTCACATCAGTTTGGTGGCCTGAAATTTGATTTAAAAAGAGTACTCCACAACATTAATAATGTTATTAACATTGATGTGATACAGAAACAAATTTATCTAACAAAGAAATCTTACGATATTTATATGGGATACAGTCTCGTAGTAAAAAGAAATACGATTCCCCATGGATGGAAAAGATTGATGGATTTTTTGCTGCAACAAACTGGCGGAACGATGGTGGTAGCGTAGTGACTGAATAAAATACTCTTTGCAACCATATGTATTTGGAAGCTTCGGAGTAATATACTCCATCCTGCAGAAATAGAGATTGTTATACATTGTTGCAGGTGCTGGAACCAGGCTGGAGGCATATTGCTTTAGGATTGTTATTATATTTGGAGGTCCCCCATATAGCTATAGCAAGCCATGAATTGACTCTCAACCTACCACAGTTGTTTCTTTAACAAAAATGCACCTAGTGATAAAAGAATACAGAGAGGCTTATCAACTTGAAAGTAGGAATCCATGTTTAATTAAAGTCCCAGAAGGTTCAAGAGCTTACTGTGTCTTTATTACTTGGTGAAAAGACTATACTTTACCCTGTATTGGATAGGCAGACAATGGTTAGCATCCTCCAGAGATCAGATTGTTCTTCGAGCAATCTTCTGAAATAAGGCCTCCAGTTTGATCAAGACCGTTGTTATCTGGGAACAAATTAATTGCTAATTCTTCAGGTGCTAATTCTTGCAAACCAGTGTTGTGTATCCAGAACTTCCTCCCACCAAATGAAAGCTGTGCATCAGCAATACAGGAGTTTTTGTAGTACCGAGGAAGAATAAACCATTAAAGACTTAACTTTCATTAACCAAAGAAATCACAATCAGATAAGACTAACTTGGACAGCTAGTTTGATTTCTGCAAGACGCTTTCCAACTTAATTCATGTATAGTGCATAACAGAATCCACCTTCAGTGATAAAATTTACTGAACATGCAAAAGGTAGAAACTCTAAGAAACTTCTTTTGCACCCATTATTGGACCTTCCATACTGTGCATCAGGGAGCTATCAGTAACTTACACATTCATAGGAGTTGAGAAATTTTTGAAGTAAATGAATTGAAAAACTCAAACATTTGGGGGGGAAGGGGACATAACAGTGCTTGCCCCGGACACTGCACCAAGTTTGCAAATTAGGTTTGGTTTCAGTGAGCCCAACTATGAACTCAAGCAACTAAAGTTCAGGTGTCCACCAATACAACCACCGAAGGAAGCAGTTAGGTATATTAGCCTTAAGGCCCTTAACAACAGAAACGTTGCAATGCAGGAAATAGAAATAAGTCCTGAAGTTTACTTTTTCTTTTCGTGATCTGATTGTGTTATACTTTCATCCTATAATTGGAAGAGGCTAACATAATCAAGATTGTCACATTGACTTACTATTTACTCGGAAGGCCAGTTATAGAGTCAGAACAGATAGCACATGCGGCACTTGCAAGTTGCAACATCAAATCTCAACCTCGAGTCTGAAATGGAAATTCCATTACAAAATAAAACAAGTCCTCCCAGTCGCCAGCAATAAGTATCCCCAAAACTACGTACTAAAAGATAGACTGCACATGGCAGCAATAAATTTCTTGCTTCTTATGAGTTGATCATTGACTTATCATTACAAAAAAAATTAAACTTAACTTGAGGAGTAGAATAATTGGTTGAGAGTATCTTGGAAGCAAAAATAGCATTGGCAGCTTCAGTATGGTGAACTCCATCCCAGCTGATGTACCGAGACCCTTCATTGCAAACCTTGTAACCAGCCTGCCCACAAGTGACATTGGGATTGTAGTTATATGGCGGTCCACCGTAGCCACAGCACGCCATTAATGGATTTTGAAAACCTGTAAAACAATCCAGTATTCAATCAAAATGAGGAGATCTGTGGTGCACTAATACAAACATCTGCAGTGCAAATGAGACCATACCATATTTAGAGGCATTAGAAATGAGATCAAACTTGATGCTATATATATCCACATACACAATGGTGGCATTCTTCATTTGGGACCTGAGTTCTTCACATAAAGCACGCAGTTGTACATTAAACATCTTGGCGGCATCATTGAGAGGCTGAATGCATCCATTCTCATCAAGTTCACTGGCATTGTGGCCATACACAGTAAGTTTTAGAGGCAAACAACCAAGAGGCCCAGTGTTATGTACCCAGAAATTCTTCCCACCATGTTGATATAAATCCTACATTTTATTAGGAAAAAAAAACTTTTAGCATGTACTATCAAATGATGAACGTATCTACCATAGAAAGGTGACAATTTGAAGACTAACCCATATAGCCAATTTGATTTCAGTTATGAAAGATGGGATCTTTTCAATAACTTGAGCATATGGAAGGTAAGAAAATGACCAAGATAGATCATTCTGTCCAATATCAATTGTGTAGAGTGCATTTTGGAAGTTCTCCTCTCTAACCAAATCTTTGTGCCCTGAATACCCAAAATTCTTGTTTTAGTTGAATGATTGAGACTTGTGGATGACATTTAATTGAGTTGAAAATTGATACCTTTTGATGCTAGTGCTGGGGAGAGTGTACGGAATCGAATAAATTGAGCAACTTGGACACCTAAACTGAAGGGTTTATATCTGGGGAGAGTGGCTGAACCTCCAACAGCAAAATTGACTCCGTTTGTGAAATTTGGTCCTAATGACTCCAAGTATGGAGTCAAATATGTTGAATTCAAGCTTTCACCTGCAGAAGTCAGAAGGCAGAATGTTTCGGTTCTCATCAAAAGTTAAACAGGGGAAATCCAATAAATATCCACATATTGGACTAATGCATTCTTTGGGGTCTGATCTGACCCATAATTCTACAACAAGCCCACGAATCCATTATTCCCTCCTGGACCCATAAGAGAAAAGTCAGGGCCTTGTTAACAAGACAAGAGCGATCCAGTCCTTTATTTTATTTTTTGATGTTCAGATGCTTTTTTTTTTTTCAATTAATGGAATGGAAAACCAAACATAAGAATTAAATAATAATAATAATAATCTATCATCCATTTTTTTAACAAAGGTAAAAAATATGAGAATGTCCTCGTGACTTAGTAGTCACATTTTTTTTGTAAAAGACTTCTCATATTTGATTTAGTAAGTGTAATATTTGAATTTCACCTGAATATTAAAAAAACAAAAGGAAAAAATATAAAAAGAAATTTGGTGAACTATTTGAACTCTAATATCCAAGTGTTCAGCTCAACTCGATTTATTTACAATTTCGATTATATGGAACCCTAAGGCCAGTTTTCCATGTAAGGGCTAACCAACCACGTTAATGGTCAAGGTGGCTTTGTGACCTAGTGGTGTGCACCAGCCTCTCTTCCTGATGAGTTTAATTTCCGGGAGCCAACCTCTTGGTGGAAAAAATAATTAGACAAACATTGTCTCCTTTAGGGAAAAAAATCTAAAAAGTAACACCTAGATTGGCCTCTTCTATCCCACATGCCAAGGTATGTTATATATGCAGTCACGGGTGTGGAAGAGGTCAATATTAAGGCAGAGAACCTACAGGCGTCATAATTTTCTAAAAAATAAGTCTCAAAAGTGGAAAATTTGTCTTTTTAAGTACAGACCTTACCTATTATACATAGTTTAAAAGAAAAAAAAATATGGGAATGGGAAAATAAAAGGAAGAAAACAAATAAAAAATTAAGAGAATTCTGTTAATTTCCATCAATAATTATTTTACTCTCTAAAAAAGCTTAAACATGAGAAAATTACTCTACTCTGTATCACTATTTATCCTTATTCCGTCTGTATGCTGTTGTGGATCTTATGTCACAAAGAAGAAGTATTTTGTATATATAAGTGATGAAACATGCAAACACAAATTAAATGGCTGTATATAGTTTCTGGACTTACAGAGGAAATCTATCATCAATCTGCCATCAGACAGGCGGCCTGCCGGTCTGCCGAAGTAGGTACGTCCGGCCGGAGGTAGGAAACTAAATCCTAGAGCATCTGAAAAACCACCGGTGTCTGAGTTGGAGTCCCCAAAATTGAAGATGACGGGACTTGTGTTGCATTGGCAATGGGCAGTAAGAGGGACTGAGAGACACAGCCACACAACAAGAAGAAATTTGTGGAGAGAAGATAGAAGGAAGAATTCTTCCCTCACACCCATGTCTCTCATCATAAAAGCTATGCGTACGTTCTGTTTATTTATAGAGCCACATTTATACCTTTAAACTTTTTCACGCTTTACAGTGAAAGATATACGAAGAAAGAAATTGAATCAATTTCCCTTTAAATTTTAAAAATATGTTTTCAAATAAAAAAAATGCCATCCACCGACTCCATAGTAATTCTCTTTCAGTAAAAATAAAATGTCATAATTTTGAATTTTATGCAAAAGTAAACTAAAAGATAAAAGAGATTAAAAGAATATCTTTTATTATGTAGTTTAAAATTTAATTTGATAACATGTTCA